TTGTGCTTAATAAATACTACTTGATGATGATGAAATTAAATGAAAGAAAAATGCCTGACACAGCTAATTGCAAATGCATGCACTCAGAATATGAAATAGATATAATTTAAGTAATTTGATTCTGTGTACTTAGGAAATTTGGAATACTCCCTCTGAGAGATGCAGAATTTCTTAGTCTACACTATTTAGTAATGGGCAAAAGAAGAAAATTTTATCTAATACGAGCAATCCTCCTTTTCTAAAATGATTCAAATAAGAATTTTTGGAGAGAATATATACAGTTCTAGAATTTCTATACACATGGTTCGTGTTCCTGAGTCTCCATGTCTTTCATAACATGGAACATTTAACAGCATCCGAGCTACTTAACAGGAGTATGGTAGGGGTTCCCAGCTGAGTTATTTCCTCTTCCATCGCTGCTGTTATCTATAAATCATGTGGCAGATTTATAATTGATTAATTCAAAGGAACACAAAAGGGACAGCTTTTTAAGGAGCACTAATGTTAAATGATTTTGTCAATTATCCATTTTTCTTAAAACTGGTAATGTTTTCTACTGATGGAAATCCACAAAGATCATTACCAGTAGTCATGTCTTCTCAGCTTTTACCTCTGACAGAAGGACATTCAGTCTTAGTATATAAATAGCTCCATGGCACATCTTCAACTCTTAGAAGCAAAACTCTAACATTTCATCCTAACCACAAAAATGTTATACATTCTAGGGAAAACTAAAAGCAGGAATTTTGCCTGGAAAAATTCATAATCATAATCCCTCTATAGCCAATAAGAATTTTACCTTTAAAAACAATGAAATTACTAATTTCAACATAATAAAAATATCAATTATGATATGCAAAACTTTTAAAAGCAATTTCCTTTCTAAAAAAAGCCAAAAATATTAGTGTATGCTAATTCATATAGTCAGGCTTATTGTTTATGGGTTTTCTGTAGTGGCAACTGTTTTAAAAGATGTAGGACAACATTATTTTTGAAATCCCACAATACCATTGCTTTTCCTGATGATCTTTATCACTTTGGCATATTTATTTCACAAATGGAAATGCAAATAAGAAATAAATTCATACTATACCAGATAAAATTTTGGAATTCTACATCATTTTGAAGTGTATCTTGGGCTCCATGATGGTCTCAGTCAGCTTGAAAAAAAGTGAAAGAATTGATAGTTCTAATCAAAAAGGAAATTGTAATCTATGAAAGTTGATATTCCATTGATTATGATACTTTGACTCTGAAAATAGAAACTTTCACCTGAAAAGCTAAATTCCTTCATTATGGGTATTTATAGGAGATATATCTATAAACCTACATCTATATATTTATATCTATATCTGTATTTCTCCTGAGTTTATTATGTGGTCAGAGTTTTGGTATAGGCACCATTTTTCTAGTGACCAGACTACAAGCAATCTTAGCACAAACAAGGGTACAGTTCATTTTTTTTTATTAATATATCATTGATATACACCCTCACGAAGGTTTCACAAGAAAACAGTATGGTTACTACATTCACCCTTATTATCAAGTCCCCCCCATACCCCATTGCAGTCACTGTCCATCAGTGTAGTAAGATGCCACAGAGTTCCTATTTGTCTTCTATGAGCTACACTGTCTTCCCCGTGACTCCACACACACCATGTACACCAATCATCATTCCCCACAATCTCCTTCTCCCTCCCTCCCAACCTGCCCTCCCACACCCCTCCCCTTTGGTAACCACTAGTCCCTTCTTGGAGTCTGTGAGTCTGCTGCTATTTTGTTCCTTCAGTTTTGCTTCGTTGTTACACTCCACAAATGAGGGACATCATTTGGTATTTGCCTTTCTCCGCCTGACTTATTTCACTGAGCATAATACCCTCTAGCTCCATCCATGTTGTTGCAAATGGTAGGATTTGTTTCTTTCTTATGGCTGAATAGTATTCTGTTGTGTATATGTACCACATCTTCTGTATCTATTCATCTACTGATGGACACTTATGTTGCTTCCATATCTTGGCTATTGTAAATAGTGCTGCAATGAATATAGGGGTGCATATGTCTTTTTGAATCTGAGAAGCTATTTTCTTTGGATAAATTCCAAGGAGTGGAATTTCAGGGTCAAATGGTATTTCTATTTTTAGTTTCTTGAGGAACCTCCATATTGTTTTCCACAGTGGTTGAATTAGCTTTAATTCCCACCAGCAGTGTAGGAGGGTTCCCCTGTCTCTGTATCCTCCGCAGCATTTGTTGTTCCTAGTCTTTTCTAGGTTGGCCATCCTAACTGATGTAAGGTGATATCTCATTGTGGTTTTAATTTGCATTTCCCTGATAATTAGCGATGTGGACCATCTTTTCATGTGCCTGTTGGCCATCTGAATTTCTTCTTTGGAGAAGTATCTGTTCAGATCCTCCGCCCATTTTTTAATAGGGTTATTTGCTCTTTGGGTATTGAGGCGTGTGAGCTCTTTATATATTTTGGATATTAACTCTTTGTCAGATATGTCATTTAAAAGTATATTGGCTAGTCAGGGTCTTTTGTGGTTCCATATGAATTTTAGAACTATTTGCTTTAGTTCGTTGAAGAATGCTATTGGTATTTTGATAGGGATTGCATTGAATCTGTAGATTTCTTTAGGCAGGATGGCCATTTTGACAATATTAATTCTTCCTATCCATGAGCATGGAATGTGATTCCATTTTTTGGTGTCTTTAATTTCTCTCATGACTGTCTTGTAGTTTTCAGAGTATATATAGGTCTTTGGGTACCATTCATTTTTTTAAAAATTAAAAAATTTCTATACATTGGAATGGTCCCCGAGATTCTAGTCTGGTGAGACATTCATGCAAATCTTCTTGATTCATATATAACGTATATGCCTTAATAAGCTTTTTGTTATCCAGTTTTCTAGGCCAAAGTAAACTAAAAACAGAAAATTAGGAAGGAGATAGGAAGGGATGGAGAGGAAACTGAAATGGCAGGGAACAGAAAAAGTGTACAAGAACAGAGTACTATTACCACATAGTAGACCAATGAATATTTGTGATAACTCTTAAGTCAGTGTTTCTCAAACTTTCTTGCTGAGGAAATTTTAAGATTCAGTAATGACTATAGTAAAGGCTGTAAGTTGCAATATATTTATTTATGCCCCATAATTTTCCAGAGGGAGTTTAAACTGGAAAGAATTGTAGTACATTTTGAAAGCATTCTGTAGAATGGTTTTGATTGTATGTGTTCTGATGCTGTAAAACATATCCTTAAGTTATCTTAGGAACAAAAATGTTAAATGTTATAAATGCTGACTAAATGGTATGTCACTAAGGCTTTACTGGCTTACCACATGGTAGTTGAGTGAAGCTCTTAAAACAATTACTGAGTTAGATAAATAAGTTTAAAATTTCACAATAGCTGAAAAAGTGGATATTGGGCCAGTACCCAAAAAAGTAATCAAGTTTCCCTTTTAGAAATATAAAGACTCTCTGAACATATGCTGGCATATCCAGCCAACCTGGGTGCACTAATCTTTCACAGTAACAGTTTGCAAATTAAATAATTTTTTTCATTGTAGATGAAACTTGCACCAGGTCAAAAGCCCCTGAATGAAAGATTTTTCAAGTGACACTGTTTAGCAAGCACATCTCGGACATCTATGGCGAGTTATGCAATATACAATAGACTGGAGTCAGAAAACTTAAAAACTTAAAACAACGCATTTCATAATCTAGGAAGCTGATAGCATAATTAATTAAATATGGAAACAACTATACTACAAGAGCTATGGTAGAAAGTATAAAAGTATCATGGGTGTCAAGATGATGGAGCAATTCATTCTGTCTATGGAGGAAACTGAATGGCAGGCAGTTGCCAACCCTTGTTTTGAAGGATACATAGGTATTCAGCAGGTAAAGAGGCATGCAGAGGACATTGTGGACCACAGGAGGAGTATGGGCCATATCACCATGGTGTGTACCAGAATGCAGTTTATTTTCCTAGAAAATAGAGCTTTTATTTGGGAAAAATGGCCATTCTCATATTGGTTTGAAATTGTATTAGGGCAGATGATGTAAAACATTAGTTAATGTTGGTAAGTACTCTTCAGGGCCAGAACTTACAAGCATCCAGTCTTACCAGCTTCCTTTACTACTCTTGTTTATTTTAAAAACTGTGCTTTTTATCGCTTCTCGGCCTTTTGGCTGAGATCAAGTGTAGTATCTGTTCTTATCGGTTTGATATCTGATGCGTCCTCTGTCCGAGGACGGTATATTGGATGGATTTTTGGAGCGGGGAGATGGAATGGGAGCTTGCTCCGTCCACTCCACGCATCGACCTGGTATTGCAGTACTTCCGGGAACGGTGCACCTAAAAACAAACAAAAAAAAAAAAAAAAAAACTGTGCTTTAAAATCTTGATATATTCTTTTCCTTTCATTGCTATTTTTTTAATGAAAATTAAATAATTTCAATCTGGACTGCACTTTTTTTTACCAAGTTGGATCTTTTTCTTTTCTCATAAATATGGTAGACAGATGTTGTCATGAGTGATCTTAAGGCCTTGTGAGGGAGGGATTTGTCAGGACAGTCCTCTCCCTCAGTGCAGTGCCACCTGCATTCCGGGGAATCCTGCTCAACAGACTGCAGTGAGGCTTTGGGGTTTGAGCTCTGGGTGCTGATAATACCTCAGGAGGCTTGCCAAGGGCCCCATTAGAATCCTGCCCAGGCAAGGGCCGACATCTGGTTGTGACAGATCCTCTCAGCACCCGGCCTGATGCAGACTGGCTTCAGGCCCTAGCAAGCCACCCCCGGGAAAGCCCGCCCACTCCCTCATGTTTGTCTCATGTTTTGCAGAGGCCCTTCTGTATCTTGGCTTTCATACTCTCCCCTCTGTGTTCATTAGAACTGGAGAAGTAAAGGGCCTTACAACACATTGTCCCAAAGAGGTGGATTAAGCCATGCCATGTCACCAGTACTCATGGTGGAGGTAGTACCCAGCCACCACTGAGTACAGCAGGGGCTCAACTACTGGACCCCCTGGAAATCATGGATATGCTTTAGTGGGCACATGAAGTATCCTGCAAAGTACATGACTTCCCCTCATCCCCCACAAAGAATTATCTGGTCCAAATATACAGCTTTGGGGAAACCAGGGTGCAAGTAGTTATTCGTAAAAGGTGAGAATTCGTAACTTTTATTTGATTCTCACAGGAGTCTAGGAGCCCATGAAAGTCAAGAATCACTAGCAAAGTGGTTGAAAACATGGACCTCAGAGTGACCCACACCAGCCCAAATCTTCACTCAGAAATGTGACTTGTAATAATGAATTTAACTGACCTGATCTGTGATTTCTTCTCTTATAAAATGAGGGTAATGGCCCACAGTATATAGGATTATTGTAATGATTAAATTGTCTAGTGCATGTAAAGGGTTTAGTACAATGACTACACAAAGTAGAAACTCATTAAATAATTGCTGTCATTAATAATTGTAGTGCTCTTAATCATCTCCAGAACTCTGATTTTAGAAACAACATAGAATGACTGGTATATGTCTGACTCAGACAAGTAGATTTAGCTATACTGCTGACCTTTGACAAGCCACCTAATTTCTCTGAGCCACCATTTTTACATCACTTACATAGTGGAGAGTAGTATTTATTTTAAAGAGCTGTTGTGAGAAATGGATGAAAGAACATATACAAAATATTTGCACAAGGACTGGCCTGCATTACATGTTCAATGAAAAGAAGATAGGATGAAATACTCAAACATCTTATCTCCTAGTCCATTCATCTTCCTGCAGTAGAACCAGGTTAGGGCTGATGAGATTTGAGGCAATCCCAGGACATAGATAAAACCTAAGTTTTTATTTGTCCACATGTGCCCTAAGGAAATTACTTTTTACCTTTATTCTGTGCTCCTTCCTCTTTTTTCTTCCTCTTTGAGGGTTCCCTTTACTCCCTCCTATTTTGAGGAGAGAGAGAGATTTACAAATGGGGGTCACAGCAGGTGAGGAGTATAGACACTGTCTTTTTGGCTTGGGTCTGATGGCGGTAAAGTAGGAAGGCACTTAGTGTCTTGGTCCATTCAAGTTGCTATGACAGAATATCAGAGACTTAGTGGCATATAAACAATAGAAATGTATTTCTCACAGTTCTGGAGGCTGAAGTCCAAGGTGAAGGCACCAGCAGATCTGGTGCCTAGTGAGAACCCCGTCTGGGTTGTTGGACGGTTGTCTTCTTGCTGTAACCTCACATGGCAGAGTGGGAAGGGATCTCTCTGTGAGGTTTCCTTCAGAAGGGCTCTAATCCCATCCATGAGGGCTCCCCCCCCCATGAGCTAATCACCTCCCAAAGGCCCACCTCCCAATAACTTCAGGGTGGATGTTAGCATTTCAACATGAATTGGGAGGAATGGGACATTCAATCCTAGCAGAAAATAATTTTTTTCTTTAATAAGTGCAGGTATGACCCAGATTACAATGAAATAAATATCCTAACATTACTGAGTAATATCCCTGGATAGTTGAATTCACTTACTTGAAATCAATTGATGAGAGTTAGCATTGTCATGCCTAAGCACTTACTGGAATATAATAATAGAAAAAAGCACAAAAAACCTATTTCTTGGTCAAAATTATTCCAGAGCAGAAGAGACATACACAATTTTAAGGGATATTTGATGTTTGAATAATAATTGTTTGCTGAACCAACCTCATTTTAAAGCTAGATCAAGACTAGACAGAGATCTGCATGTGTGTGTATATATATATATATAACTGGATAGGTGGACAGTGTTTCCCCACCACCACCTTTAGTTCGCTTCCCTGCCCTGCAGGTCCTTGGCACATTCTCCTGTCTCCACATCGTCTGTCAGCTGACTCTGGCTTTTGGGTAGGTCTGTCTTACAGGAGACATCTGGTGGTATATTGTCCTGATTTTGAAAATCTTTTATCTTGTAGTATTAGTCCTCTAGGGACTAGTCATTGTCATCTGTGTAGAAGAGAGAATGGCTAGTGAATAGGTAATGATGAGAAGCCAGGACTTGGGCTATTCTGATCCCACTCTGACCTTTAACTAGCTGAGTGAGTCCTAATCTCTTAAGGGAAGTGCCTTCTTTTAAGAGGAGTTCAATAAATGGTTTCTCATCCTCTTTGGGTGTCATTTATCTGTAAACGGAAGAGGTTGGGCAAGATGACCTCTAAGGACCCTTCTGGCTCTAAACTCTGTGATTATATTCTAAATGTTAGGACAACATGGTGCTTACTGGCATCACCATTAGTGAAATTACCCATCATTTATCTTATAAACAGAAAGCACACACCAATAGCAATAGACCAGCCGAGCCTGAAAATGAGAGTGTCTGGATTTTTATAATGCCCACAGCTCTCCAGTGATGCTTGTGATGAATGTGAATATCTTCTAAAAAAAACTCCCAACTGTTTTAGACTTGGATACAGCCACCATGCTCCATGTCAATGTAGTTCTGCATACTGGAGACCTGGAATGTAGTAGAAAATAAAAGTTTGTGCTGAATACCTATTAGTAAGAGATTATTTACCAGAAATGGTCTTTATACATCTCTTTATCTCTGGTTTACCTCTTCTCTCAGACCGTGTCCCACACTTGACAGAGGAGGTTCAGAGGAGGTCACCAGGTGGGATCTTGCTCAGACTTCATTCCCTCCATTCTAGAGATACCCATAAAGTTTCAATCTTTGTCTTTTTCCTGTCATAAAGGATGAGATGTCCTGCCAAGACTAAGCCTCTACAAATCCAGCACTAAACCTTATTTCCTGTTTACAGAGCTAGGATCTTGATCCAACCCTTCTGCTTCCTCCTCCTCTTGAAAAACCACATATCAGCCCCCAGTCATACCAAAAGGATGTTTAATGACCCTCCCAACCTCCTAAGATTCAGTCCAATTGTCCTCTTTCCATGAAATGCCAAAATAGAAAACCCTCTACAGTTGTCTCACGTCACATAACGAAACATTAAAGTTGTGTTTGTTTAAGTCTATTACATGTAACTTCAGTCATATTTTTGACATGCCTCACTCAACATTATATTAGAAAGGAAGAGATTTTTTTCTTGTGTGGCCTTTCCTATAAATCTCCCTTCCAGATTTGCTCCAAACCAGGTAAAGGTTAAGTGGAGAGGGAACATGAGAGGCAAGGAGAGGCGTTAGCACTCTTCGGAGGCAGTCCACGCAGAGGTTATGTGGCTCTGATTTCACACCCACCTCAACTGATCCGATGCCCTGCCATCTCGGTTCTCCACCCAGTGAGCCTGCCAGCTTATGCGACCCCAGTGGCCCGCGCCCCTCCTGCAGGCGGCACATGTGCTGCCTCTGCACGCAGACACTAGTTCTCCAGAACGGCTTTCACCACTCACCCGTTTCCCTGCTGTCAGCAGGGGAACTTCCTCTGACCATCTGCTCCTGAATTAGTCAAAGTTTATCAACTTGTCCACAGGATTTCTCTCCAAAGCTATACAGTTGGTCCTATTGTTCATTGTTTGTCTGTTTTTCTCATTTCTTAGGGAAGTTTTTTTTTCTTCTTTTGCATTTCATTCCATTCATTTGAACATGGATCTCAGATACTTCTAACTACAAAAACTCCTTAATACCTTCCTTTCCCTGTTTTCGTGTGGCACAACTGTAGCCTAGTAACAAAGGGGTTTCCTGGAAAGAGCCAAGGTTCTTGAAGCCCAGACTTGGATCAGTTTGCCGCTGACTTACTGACCTGGGGCGAGTTACATAACCCCTGCCTCAGTTTCCTTACTGTAAAATGTGAATGAAAACATTGATTTACTTCTTGAGTTCCATGAGAATCACTAGAGATCATTTATGGAAAAGCTCTCTGGGAAGGTAAAGTGTTATGCACACCTATAGTTATTCTGTTTAATTTAGCAGCAGCAGCTTCATATCATTCCTAAAATTGCATCTGTGCCTCATCACAAGAACTTTCTACTCTAGTGTAAAACAGGTAAAAGGCATGTCCCTAATGTGTCAATATTTTAGGCATTTTTTCCGTCTAGGCTGCCTAATGAGGGGATGCACTACAGCCCCTCAAGCTCTTTCGTAGGCAGAGCTGGCATTCCAGTTTGTTAGCTGCTGCTATGGGCTCTGGCATGTGAGAGACTTCTGGCTGAGAGGAACTACTGCCTGGAAGTGATTTAGACTAGAGTCCAGGCTACCCATCCACATGCTGAGGTTCCATGCAATCTGTGGTATGTGATATCTCTTCCTGAAGATTCTGGGTATAGTATCGTCACTCAGAGCCTCCTTACAACAAGCCTGACAGTCCCTGTTGTCAAGCTTTTCTGCCAGAAAACATCATAGCAAACTGGTCCTTCCCTCTACACTCCATGTCCTTTTGCAGAGTCCAGACCAACAATTTTTTGCTTGTGTTAGAGAGAATTACATGAGAATTTTTTCTTAGCACTATTCAGTAGAACTAGCAGTGATATGTAGGAGACATATTACTACTATAAAGTATACAATATTTAAGCATGATGTTTCTCTGTGCCTGAAAATGCAGACCCTCCTTTCAGGCAATATGACCACTCCTTTTGTTCCCAAACATCCTTTCCTTGAGTCAACGATATGGTCTCTGCCAGAGCAATGGCAGAGTCAGGCTAGGTTAGCATACTTGGCAAAGATTCAGGTAACAGACATGACACAAATGTTTAAGTTATTGCAGTACAGGACTCTGAGATTCCTAAAAAGACTTTTACACAATTCATTTTTGTTAGTATTTGTGACTGTTTGATAAGCTCCAGAACCTTCTCCTGCACAGACAATAAATCATTCCTAATAACTGATTTTTTCCCTTTTTTATTTTTAAACTTGAACTTTTCTCTAAAATAGCCGTATTTCATCCCTATGCTTTTCTCTTTTAATACTGTTTTTCTTTCCTCTGCTCTAGGATGGACGTCTACGGATGAATGACCAGCTGATTGCAATTAATGGCGAATCTCTTTTGGGAAAGTCCAATCATGAAGCCATGGAAACACTTAGACGATCCATGTCCATGGAAGGAAACATACGAGGGATGATCCAGTTGGTGATTCTGAGGAGGCCAGAGAGACCAGTGGAGGTGATGCACACCTTCATTTCCCTCAGCAAATGGCCCAAATGGCCACCAGAATGTGCAAACTTCTATCACTGGTACTGTAACTAGACTTGTACTGATTGTGAAATTGGAAAACTATGCCCCAGAAGGTCTCTGATGGATTTATGTGGTGAACAGGTGGTTGTATATTTTAGATATAACTAGAAGGTGTAAAAATCTGCATATAAAGTATATAACTTATCAAATCTAACAGGTCCATATTTTCTAGGGTTTTTTCCTCAGATAGTTTTAGAGCTCCAGACTATGAATGACTTTATTCCTATAATAAGGTGTCTTTGTATACTTTTTGATTAATGTGCTAGCAGTGTCCATCCCTTAGAAAAATTTTAATCAGGTGTGTACAATGAAGGGCATTATAATGCAGTTGGCTCTCTGTATTCTCCCCCATTATGTGCACATGGGTAATATATATGGACTTGAGACTTAACTAATTTAAAATTTGATCTATTAGGCAGCCTACTTGCTTCATGTTATTAAATAAGTATTTTAATTGAATATTTTTGAAATACTTTATCACAATTGCTTTACACATTTTTTTAACATAAGGAATATTTTTACTTACACTAATTGTAAGCATACAATATTCTTGAATGATAATATCCTTAAACATTTCACTTACAATTATATTATTATGCTTGTATTATACAATTATATATTGTACTATATAATTATTATTATATTTATAATCAACATAAAATATTCCTAAAATATTATTTCCTCTTATACATGAAGAGCAATTATTAAATGCTCCTAAAAATTATTTTAAGAGATGAGAAGAAAATTGTAGTAGTTAAGAGCTAAGAAAAACATCAGCAATCACATATATATTCTCTAATGACAAATAATGTTTATGTAATACAATAATTTGCAAAGTTAAAATAGAATATTACTAAGAACACACTAATGTAAAATATTAGTTTTAATAATACGTTCAACTTAAAAATTTAAAAATGGAAGGATTTTCAAATTAAACAAGAGTGGAAGGTAGTTGGAGCTCATAGCAGTTAAAAGCTTGAGCTCTAGAGTTTTGTATTACTTTAGTTAAAAATCCCAGACTGGCCATTTCCTGGCTATGTTGATACATACACAGCTGAGTGCTCAGTACTTACAGATGACAGATACCGTTGTCTGCTTTTTATCCCTAATGTGGCCTCATTTCCCAACACATCGTGGACACTTACTAAACATCCTCGAAGGAATGACAAATACTTGCATCTGAGACCTACTACATCTGAGAGGGTAAGCTGAAGTAGTAAATTCATAAACTATATCTCACTTTGTTGTATTACCAGCTATTGGAAAGGAGTAACTGTACCTTTTTACTGTTCTGTATATAACCTTGTAAATGTTAAATAAATGTAAATTGGCCTATTACTGGAGACTATATATATAATGAGCCAACTCATTTTCAACATTTGTGTCTGCTTAAGTGACAGAGAGGCTTCCATGAATATTTAATGGTTTTACTTATGTACGCAGATGTAAAACCAATTCCATCCATGACAGAATTGGCTCCTTTCTGGTTTAATTTGGTTCTTGCTCTAGATCCCTAGGACCCCATGGAACCCAGTTGTTGGAGACAAGTAGAAAGGATGGCCTGTGGGCCCCTGAGTCACCTCTTCTGTGCATCTGTGTATTAGGTCCCTTAAGATTTCTGAGAGCAAAGATACCTCAGCTAACAAAAGTCAGGAAGAAGCCGCTGTAGAGTACCAAACCTGTGCAGGTGGCAAAAGTTAAAAAAAAAAAAAAAAGAAGAAGAAAAAAGAATAAATGAATGCTGTTGTTAATAGTAATCCCCCACCTCTGATCTTCCCTAATTACATGCCTTTCCCTAAGACATGTGAATGTCTAGTGGATAGGTGTTTTGTATTTTGGCTCATCTAGTCGAGACATCTAGTCATTTGCATTCTGCCATTTATTGTAGGTCTTTTCATTTTAATTCTAACACTTTGGGGTGGGTTGACAATTATTCCACCACCATAATGTACTAAACTTTCAGTTTGTTGTCCTTCCTCAGAGGTGTCTTGTTAATATATAGTTCACTAGAGAATCAATTAGGAATAAGAAATGGGACAAAAAACAGTTTTTATGAGGACTTTTAAACAAGATCCATGTTTAGCTTCACTAATATTTACATTTTTCCGTGGGAGATGAGCAGGTACTTGACTCTCTCAGCTATTGAGAATCTCTGTAGTACCCATGAAGATTAAAGAATATCTTCCTTATAAAGACAGCAGCCTAATATACAGCTGATTTTTGTTAAGTTGAAAAAATATCTGCAGTTATGTGGTCTCCCAAATCTGTGTTTTACTGTGTCAAGCATATGTTGTACATTCATATTTTTGGTGTGTTTTCCTGTGCAGCATCCTTAGGTACAGAAAAAAGCATCAGCAACCTAGGAAAAGGTCTCAGCACTGCACATACATTGAGGCAAATCACTTAGTTAGATTTGGCAAGAATACCAAAATGGTTATTCGAACATTATATCGAAATAAAAAATTGAAGAAGCTACTTAAGAAGAGTCAAAATATATGGTTGTTGGGGTATTTTCCCACATTACCAGATGCACAAGATACGTAAACAGTTTTGATGAGGCTCTCATGAAGAATGCATAATGAGCCCTTGATTGAATCAAAATCATTTTAAACAGAAACATGTTTTTCAAAGGATGAGCTTGAGGTTCAATTGTAATTCTATTTGAGCCTAGAGACTTGGTATTAAAAAATGGGTTATGACCTGCTTTTTTTTCCCTTCCCCAAAACGGTTCCTCCCTGCTGCAAGCTCATCTTGGTAGAAGCAGAATATGTTTAAAAATCCATTATATTTTTTATTGGCTGGGACACTAATGGAGGGCTCCACGACAGCTCTATTTTACAGGCTGAATACTTTAATTAGGCTGGTTACTGATCAGTTGTTGGGTTATCGATTGTGTCATTTATCAAAGAGCTGGGGAAGCAGAAAAAAAATTTTTTGTTGTTCTTGCTGTTGTTGTTAACTCAAAGCGCAAGGCTGTGCAAGTCCAGCTCTCCTGGCTGCCAGGGCGCCGGCTCTCATTTAGGGGCAGTTTGCCTCAGGACCAGGCCTGGTTTGACTGGCAGTAGAGGGGCAAACAGTAACACTGGGTGTAGAAAAAGTGTTATAAGCCCTGACAAAAAGCTAAAGGACCTGAAAACATTTTTATTATTAAGAATGCATAAATTGAATGTTTTAATTATTTTGTTTAACTGGAAAGATACTGAGTTGTTTTCTTCAGAAAAGTATAACCAAACTGTCTGGGCCAAGTGCTTTTCTCAGAAGGAAAGGGTGCAGAAAGATCAAACCTGTATTTCTGTTTGTGGCCTGTTCCTCTCACAAGTGGTCAGGGCAGAGCTATCAGATGGCTTCCAGATTAGTTCCTTGAAACCTATTCAGAAGACACAAAATATGAGCAAAAGCAAAACCCAGTGTTCTGTGCCTCAGTCCTCTTGAACACACAGCTAGACCTCTTTATAACTGGCCACCTCCTATGACCTCTTCCACACCTGCTGAACACGGCTTGTGGGAGTGTTTTTCTGGACACAGCAATTTTAGGGGAACTGTGAATTGTTTACAGATTGTCTAAATCAATATAGGAGGGGGAAATATGGAAAAAAAGAGGAAAGAATCTCAGGAGAACCTCTCTCTGGCATTGTCACAGCAGTTTGATTTAGCTGCTGGCTGTAAGACCTGGTGTCTGCAGTGAGACACACTCATGGCATTTCAGTGGCAAACCTGCTTTGGTCCTGACTTGTCCTAGAACATATGCACTTAGTCGCCTGGGGAGAGGGAGAGGAACCAGCTGGCTGGCAGAGAAACACCCTTGGCATGAACTGTATTCTTGCACTGGCACTGCCACAAGCTGTCCTCCCAGATGGAAGAAAATTTGAAAGAAGCCAGTTGTAAGTTGGGAAGAAGAATAATAAAGTCAATCCTCTTTTCTGTTGGCTGTGAGAAGTCCTAATCCTTAACATCACATTGTCAGGATTTTTTAAATTTCATGCTCAAAGATGTTTTAAATAATAGGGCCATTTTGATTTTCCACACTTGATGATTTATGTGGAATAGACTCTTAAAAGATTATTCATAAATCAATCATTACTTCACTTTGCTTCCATTGACCAAGTTGGAACATATTTAAAAAGCAAATATAATTTTTATTTTCATCCCCTAGGAGCCTGCAGAGTGTGGGGCATTGTCTAAGGCATGTTTTGAGACTTGTCAAAATTCCGTAACCACCTCCAGAAGAAATGATAATAGTGCATTGCATCCATTCGGCACGTACACTCCACAACACGCACACAAAGGTAAGCGTCTGTCCTTTCATCCACGGCAAACAGTGTGAGAAAACACAAACTGTCTTCTCTTTAAAAAAAAAAAAAAGGAACAAAGGGGAGTTAATTACACTAAGTGCAGACTTTGTTACTCTGAGTCATGAACACTGAGAGATGGGCGGGAGAGCTGACTCAGAAGTTGTGAAGCAGATTCCTGGCTTTGGCTCCAGTTTAAGTGACAGTTTCTATGCTTGCTGCCCCAAACATGGAGGATTATGTCTAAAACAAACCATGCCTAGAAAAGCAAAATGGCAAACTGTTATTTTTTTTTACAGTCTTTTAATATTGGATGTTATCAAGTATAAATCACCACTAAACTTAAAAAATATATAGACTAGTATTAACCACAAAATGGTTATGATATGATTTACAGATTTATGCTTGAATCTAGCATGAGTATGGTGTAAATACCATGAATCAAGATGAGTATATGCCAGTTGCAATGTTCTTGCTTTGATCTCTCTCCACTGTCTTCCTCTTATTATCTCATATGGATCATATTTCTAGTAGAGCTTTAGAAGTAAAAAACTTGGATTTTCTTCTTTGTTTTTCAAAAATTATACTCAAGTCACCAAGAAAATTCTTCTACTTCCCTGCATCTCCTCTCTCTAAGAACTTTAAATTTTTGTATTGCAAAAGCCGTACATACTCATTACAGGAAATCTAGAGAAAAGCAATAAAAAGAAAATGTAATATTACTTATATTTCTATCAAAGATAATATTTTATAGTTGTATTTCAAGTCTTTCCTTCATGCAAATATGTGTATATAAAATGAAAGGGAAATGAAATGTACTGTATATAGTGTTTAGGAAATTGCTTTTTTAATTAATAGCACATTATGAACATCTTACTATGTCATTGAATGTTCTGCAGCTTCCTGTTTAGTAGTTACACATAATTCATTGAGTAGAAGTACCATTTCTATAATCAATCCTTTATTTACACTTAAGATGTTACCAAAACTTAACACATGGGAACAATTTGTAAACTGAAATGACTCCATCAGAACAGGTTTGTAAATCTGAGATTCCTCTAGAATTAAAGTGTTTCATCAGAATGGGAGGTTTTTTCCTCTGAATTCCTCCAATTTAGTGAGCATAGTAGCAACAAGAATGGCCATTTATTAAGTATTTACTTACTGTCTGTCTGATACTATGTTAAGCAATTTACCTGCACACTTGAAATAGGTAATACTATTATCTTCACTTTACAGATGAAGAAATAGAAAGTCTGATAGAGTAAACAATTAACTGAGGAGCACATACTTGATCTCTGCAGAGCCTGAATTCAACTCCTATCTCTATGACTCAAGGCCATTCCCTAAACCACAGTGTGGGCCCTTTCTTACACTGATCCCTTGAAATCAGTCAAGTCCTTTCACCTCATACAAAGAATGTCCATTAGGAGCTGACTTGACTTTGTATCAGATAAAGAAATAAATACTATGTCCTTCTCATCTTCTTAAAGAAATTAAAAGCTCCCTTGACAAAGCAAGATCTCCCTCTGAGACCTTCAATCACAATACCAGAAGAATCTGGAGGAGGAACAGCAAGTTTTCCATGGACTAAAACAACCTTTTTTCTATCTGCCATTCCCATATAGTGACCACGAACATTGCCATCTCTATTAAAATATCTAGTCTTTTTATAGTTTGGCATTTAATTCTCAAGCAACGTGTTCCAGTGGCAATCCGAGTTCTGGGTTTTATTCCTAATTACACCAGTGACACCCAAAGGAATATTGGGCACGTTACCTCCTATCTTATTTCATTTTCAACTTTCAATACCTATAAAATATTGGTGCTGAAGGACTGATAGCACAATATTTTTAGACAACATTGAGACACTCAAGGAAATGGGATAAAAAGCTCTAGAAAGGATAACATAGGTTAGAATACTGTAACTGTAGAACTAGTTAGAGGGCAAGGATATCCCCAGAAAAAATTTTAAATAATAAAGTCCACTCAAAGCACACACAACAAATAAAATGAGTTAATACTTTGGAACTTCAACAGAATGTTTAAAGTTTGTGTTTCCACTAAATGGTTAGAGTACTTTGAGTACAGGTGGCCATAGACAATCACTGGGGCGTTCTGTCTGTTCTCTTATTCCTGAGATCCAGGTAGAACAACTTTTATACCAATGGAAAACCACTCAGATCAGCTACTGCAGGGTTCCTGCTACACTTCCTCCCCCCACATCTATTTTCCACGGTGACTTAAAATATCTGTTCTTTTAAAAAGTGACTCCAATGAATGTTATTTTTTTAAAAAACAGAGAAAATCTGTTATGATTTCCTTGTGGATCTGTAATACAATGATCAGGTGTAAGAATTAAGCCTATCAAAGCATTTAGTTATTAAATTTTAATTGTAAGAATCCAGTCAATCAGTTCTCTTACTTTTTATAAGCCTATTGACTTAGAGACAAAAAGTATGTAACAGAATTTATAAACATGATGTTGTAGAAGCACATCATGACCGTCACCTCTTTGTAACATTAAAAACCTTTTAAGTTCTGAGAGCCACTCAGAGTTCCTGAGTTTCAGATGCATGAAACCTGAACGAGTGTTGACTCAACACTTTACCAAGTTTTTTAAGGGTTCCTTCAGAAAAAGAAGATTGACTTGACAAAATAATATCTAGTGAGGAAAGGAACTGTTACAGCCAAAGCATTAACTTTTTTTCCTTCCCTTTTCCCTTTCCTTTGTATATTTAAAAATCCAGTGTTGATATGCTGTGTTCCATCTATTTTTGTAATAAGGGTATATACCACCCACAGTTCCCGGTTACTTTATATATATATATATATATATATATATATGTATGTATATACACACACACACACACACACACATACTCCTGTCAAGCTGTTACACTGAAAAGGCATTTTTAGAACTAATGTTTGTAGAAATTGTAACACCAGAAATGTGTAGAAAATTCACATTTGTGTTGGAGAAATGCTAGCAGTGGCCACAGTGGAATAAGCATGGTACTCCAAGATGGTAATAAGGATGGAGTTTGTATCCCAGGGCTTTTCTATAAAATGCTATTAAGCATTTGAATGGTAATGAAGTACGTGAAATACCAATACTGTATTTTCTGGAGAATCTTGCTGGCAGATCTCATCCTGGGCCAAGTAATAGCCTGAGTGCAGTTCTCCTCTGGTTTACAACATCTCTCCATTTTCTCATCCCCCCTTTTGTGCTCTACTCCTGCCTCCCCTCCCCTTTCAGTGCAGTTGCTCCCCAGCCCCTGCCTCAGTCCCCCTTTGCCCACGTCCACCAAGGATCACCCACTGAGGTCTCCATCCACACCCCACATCAAACGGTTTGGTTTACCTCTTGTCCCACTGGATCCTGTTCCCTGGGGTCCTTTGTGGAGGCATATAATTAGTATAATTATTCCTAATGATTCTCCTCCTGGGAACCAGCATGTGTGCATCCCTCTCTAGCTTGTAAGGCACTGCCTTTGGAGGGATGATCAGAAATTGAATTTTACTTCTCAATTTGACTGATGTTGGTTGGATTTCTATCAAGGATGCAACCTTGAATACAGTGCTGCTCTTGCCCTCAGGAACAGTCTAAAGCAGAGGTCAGCAACTCTGTCTATAAAGGGCCAGATAACAGGTTCTCTGTTGCCGCTCCTCAGCTCTGCCAGTATAATGCAAAAGCAGCCGTGAACAGTCCTTAAGGGAATGAGCACGGCTGTCTGTGTTCAATGAAACAATATGCACAAATCCAGATGGTGGGCTGGCTTGGGACCAGCACCATAGCTTGCTGAGCCCTTGCCTAAAGTCACAATCCCCTTTACCCTTCTTTTCTGATCTGGCCCTGGCAGGATGATGCCTATAAAAACAAGAAACAACAATAAAAGATAGTGATTAAATAAGGGGCATTTGAACATCAATGAAGCAGTGACTAGATAGACGGTGCATGGTATACTCAGTGATAGCCAGGTATATCATTTTTAGGAGATAGGAATTCCATATTTTCACACTGATATAGGACTTCAGAAAGGTGTTTGGGCCAAAAGAAAAAATTCCTTACAGCATCTGAATATGTTGTTTAAAAGTGCACCAAGGATAAAGAGTCAACAAAGTAGATATATATCTCAGCACCCATCTCTACTCTAAAGCCACAGAGGATGTTCATGTGAATGAAATAAAAGTTAAAGGTAATGACTATAATAAAATTTGAAGTAGCCAGAGAAGATCCTGAAGGAGAGGAGAATGAGAAAGGACGAGAAGAAAGTCATCTACAGTCCAGTAAGAGAAGTACACGTAGATACATAGATTGATAGCTCATCGCACAAACAGCCTATGATCAATGTTCTACATGAATTATTTTCCATATTAATAGATAACTGACATATGTCGGTGTATAAAGATAGTCAAAGTGTGTTTCTGCCCATGTCACAGGCTTGGGGGCTGTGCTCCAAGCAGAGACTAAGGAACCTGGGGGCTCCTTCCATTAGTAGCCGGGCCACTTTCTAGAGCCTCCCCCACCCGTGCTTGCAGCTGGTAGATGGGAAAGGTGGAGAAGGCACATCCTGGCATAACCACCGAGACTGGGATTGACATGGACCACAGCGATTCAACTCACATTCTTCCGGCAGGAACTAGTCTAGGTCCAAAGAGGGCTGGGAAAGGGGGCCCAGGGTCTAGCTGTATGTCCAGGGCAGATGGAAGAATACAGGTGGGTGAGCAGTAGTGCCCTCTGCCACTGTCCTGAAAGTACTTACAGATCCCAGAGCAACAGTGAAGGCTTCACAGAGGTGGTGATACTTGAGGTAGACCTTGGGAGAAGAGTAGGACTTTGAAGAGAGCAGTGGGTTTTGCAATTATATAAACAAAGACACTGAAGCAGGAAAGTACAAACCTGTGGTTGGGGAACAAGAAGTAGTCTTGGGTGGCTAATGTGTAATAGGAGATGAAGTTGGCTGCCAGGGACATGGACCTTATTCTGTAGGCAATTGTGTGCAACTGAGATGTTTCTGAGCCAGGCGGATTACATGATCACACAGCTATGTTTTCCACCAGCATGGAAGATGGACTGAGAAGTCAAAGGGTAGAGAGATTAGAACCAGCAGAAAAGGTATTTTCCGAGTATGTCCCTTGTCCACAGTTTACACTGTAGTCCTTCTGCTGTGTTTTTCTCAGCAAGCCTCTGGCTGCCTGACTGCTGCCCTGTCACCAAATCACTGGATTACCAGTGCAGGACGGCAGTGCTGGCTGCCTTTGCTCATCATGCTTCTATGCCCTGGTCACCTACCTGTGAGATCTCCTGCTTCAAGCCTCATTCCCAGGCACACATCAGCACTGCCAGGACCACTGCCGTTTTATACTAGTCCCTGTGGCAGAGCTTGGAGCAAGTCAGGTTCTCCAGAGAAACACAACCAATGGGATATATATGTACATATACATATATATATTCTGTGTGTGTATATATGTGTGTGTGTGTGCATGTGTGTATTTATAAAAAATAAAGAAATTTATTATAAGGAATTAACTCACATGATTATTGAGGCAGGCAAGTCTCTCTCTACCCTTGACTTCTCAGTCCATCTTCCATGCTGGTGGTAAACACAGCTGTGATCATGGAATTGCCTGGCTCAGAAACATCTCAGTTGCACACAGTTGCCTACAGAATAAAGGCCCGTGTCCCTGGCAGGCAGCTTCATCTCCAATACATATAAGCCACAGGGTGAGTGGAAAGGCTGGAGCCCCAGGGAGCCAGGGGTGCTGTCCAGTCTGAGAACCGGCAGGCTCAAGGCCCATGAAGAGCCGATGTTTCAGTTTGAGTCTAAGGGCAGGAAAAAGCTGATGTCTTAGTTTGAAGGCAATCAGAGAGGAAGAATTCTCTCCTGCTCAGAGGAGGGTCAGACCTCTTTTGTTCTATTTAGACCTCTAACTGATTGAGCCTCACCCACATGAGGTGTCTACCAAAATTAAGTGTTAGTTCCACCCAAAAATAATCTCACAGAAACACCCAGAGTAATATGTCATCAAATATATGGGCACCCTGGGCCCAGTCAAGTTGACACACAAAATTAACCATCATATGTGGGATTTGGCAAGTCAGAGCAAGTTCTGTTACCAGCAGCATTTCTCAGGAATAGACTTTTCTCTTGTTTAAGCAATCAGGGACAAAGAGGGTCCTTCTTTTCCCCAATATCTCTCTGATAGATTTGCAGTAGAGTTTATGGTATGTAGGATAATAATCCTTTAACAGCACTTTGCCTTTATCAATTACTGCTTGAATATGCACCACCTTATATAATTGTTATACTTCTCCAATGAAAGCAATCTTAGCCCCATTTGAAAGACTTAAGAACTGATGCTTGGAGAAGTTGAGTCGTTTACCCAAGTTCACACCGCGATAGGGGCCATGACTGGAAACATGGCAGTCTTGCTCCACAAACCTTACTCTTAGCCAGGATGCTCTATCAGGCATTTAATATGTTAGCTAATATTGTTAATGCTGAGCATTAATTGGCATAATGTACATTAATGCTAGCACAAGGTCCGGCACACAAGATCTCAGACAACCTTTCTTGTTATTCATTGTAGTAATATCAGGATGCATGTCTATATTTTTCTAATATAGACTAGACTGAAAAACTATACATTTCTAGGATGTAGGAAAACCAGGTCAGATCCTAGATTTTGGCTCCCAAGGTCTTAAACCCAGGTGTTTCTATTGTGACACAGATACAAAAAAAAATTAATGTTTTTCCTCTACTGTGACTAAATGGTGAGTAGATAAATGGTGTATCTCATGGTTTTTTTTAAGTACTTTCTGTCATTGAGGCAAATGCTTAAATCACCATATAATTCAGAGCATACATTAGACAGTCTTGTATGGGAAAACATGAAAGTATCTAAGAGATGGCTTTGTTAATCTTCCACAGATCACAAGTAATGAATATGTGTTAGCCTTTCCTAGCTGGGAAAAGGTACCCAAGATGCATGCTTGTGACCTGCCAAGGGTTACCAGCAGGGCACCAGTGTAAAAATATATTAGCAGACTTAGGTTTTCTCATACAGGCTGCATTAGCTCTCGTATGGATACTTCAGTTCTGTATGAGGACTTATTTATTTCAAGGTTGGTTTATGAGTTGATGAAAACTGTGTCTGCAAGATGGCATGAAACAGAACCAGGCGCTGAGCAGTCCTGCCTCCAGTTTACTACAGCTTCATCTGTTCCTTGTTTATAGAGCTACTGCTTCCCAGTGATGGATGGGCCAAGAGCGAAGCAGCACCTTCCCCACCACCGCATCCCGTTCTGGAATTGGGCATTGAAGATTACAACCACAGGTATCGATAAAATGATACATCGTAAATGTTCCCTGAGATGGTTTTCTGGGAAAACCCAGAAACCTTATTTCAACTTTTTTCTTTTTTTCTCAGAATGGAATACTCATACTATCTATAATTCCTTTACAGTGAAAGCTTCTCATAGCTAATATTAATAGCTTAGATTATTCATATTTTGCTTCCTAGAATTTATTCAGATTCATCATATATTATAAAATATTTAAGAAAATTGTCGAATTTTCTTTTACCATGTTTAAAAACTAGGGCAGAGGAACTCAAAACTTACATGGGAAGGTATAAAACAAAACGGAGAGACATAAAGCTTAGATCTTTTTTTTCATTTGTAATTGGCAAATCCTAAAGGTATTTTTAAAATAAATGTTCCAAGAAAGTTAATGGAATCTAAAAATTAAAGCATCATATAGAATCTAAAATATTGAAAAGAGTGCCCAATATTATATCTACTCTGTAATAGAAACCAAAAAAATCAATAATTTTTAGAATCACACACAAGCATGAGAGAGAGATTTACTAAGCATACACACCATCTGACTACTAAATTCATAGATTTTGTTCTTCTGATGAGTTTTAAAAATCATTAACTTGTCCCTTTGCTATTTTCTGTATTTATTATGGCTGTTAAAAACTGTGTATTTTATTCCACTCTATGTCCCATGATAATTCTGTGAAATTTTTTCATTTTTCTTGCAGCAATGCTGGTGTCATTTCTATTATGCTTTTTATTACAATCTGCTAAAACAACACAAAAAAAGTATAGCTAACTCTATTAGCCAGAGGCTTACCTATATTAGCTAATCTCCGATTCCTACCTTTCTGAAATCAGCTGTCTTACTCATATGCAACTTCATGAACTAGATTGATAATCGCAGTAATGTTCAAGATCTGTATCTTTTGTTTTTTTTTAAGAAAATCTGGACATATGTAATTTTGTTCATTCATTTCCATTGCCTGTCTCAATCCTGAACCAAAAATGACAATTTGGTGGCATACAACAATACATATAAAAAATAATTTTGTTCATTCTACTTTACTGTTTATCCTGTGTATATGTGCAGCACTCTTGAGAGAGTGCAAAGATGAGTCAGATATAAACCCCATCCTCAAGAAGATGGTAGACTAG